CATTCGCCAATATACGGGATAGTTCTAGAAACAAGAGAGCGTGAGAATTGTCACGTGATCTCGATGACGCAACAATATCAAGTTAACCAGTCAGCTCTATTCAATGATATACTGCTCAAAATGTGTATCAGAGGGAAAAGTTCATTTTAGTGGTAGTTTAATGTTTAATAAAAGAAAGAGATGTGTATAACATGTTGTTATATATTAGTGTGAAGATGCTTGAAGGAGATGTGTATAACATGTTGTTATATATTAATGTGAAGATGCTTGAAGATCTATTCCATCAGTGACTACTCATTTTGTTATGTTCCAAAATTAAACACTTATGCCTAATATTGGAATAATGAGTATAAATATATTTAAATCAAAACAACGCTATTCTTTTTTAGATCCCTCCTTGAAAATTTGAGTGTTAACATCTTGGATTCATACTTCTGACCAATACTATACACAGATACATCTAAAATGATTCACAAAATTAAATAGGTTACATTGTATCTGGCAAGTAATAGTAATGAACATAGAATTAAGAAGTAAGACTAAAACAAAATGGTTAAAAAAATATACTGTACTTCATGCAAAATAACAGATATGAAACTTTGATTTCCTAATTTTCTTTTGATTATGACGTCACCTAAGTCTCAAAATGTTTCTCAACAAACTACTAAAATGGTATTAATTAAAACAAGGTTCACATGTCCCTCCCTCTAACAATCTAAACTTCTTGTGTTATAGGAGCTACTGTGTATAAAAATAGTGATGTTTCTTTTTAATACAGAAGAAAATCTGTATTATAAAATGTGTTGAATAAATAAATTTCTTGTCTGTAACTTTTCATTATCATATTATATTTTTGTTATTGAAAAACTTACCTCCTACAACTTTGCAGTAGTGTTGTTGAAGATAGCTGATAAGCCTTACACAGAATCCATCCCCAGCATATAATCCTTCCATCTTTGCCATGAAGTGTAAAACTTCAGACATACATTCTTGGAATCCGAGCCGGTACTGTCGCCATCTATCTTGTTCAGAAGTTTTAGCTACTTCGCATGTGTCTGTAACATCAGTTAGAAAATTTGTTTGCAACAGATGTGGTGCCCATTCAATGTATGTGAAGAAAAATAAAACGTTTTTCTTACAAATTTTCACTTCCAGCTATAAATTAAAATTCCGTTTACAAAATGATCATCAGAAAGCCTTACAATAAACAAAAATCACTCATAATATTTTGTGCTTGACCTCACTTAATAGTATATCAAGCAGGTTTGTGCATAGATTGAGAGATTAGATGTACTGGAAGGGAAAGCAGCAAAACCAAGTTGGTACACAGGTTTTACAAGTATTATATTTTATTAGATAAACCAGACTGATTGTGGCCTGCAAATAAAAAACAGCCTTAAAAGAATGTTCAGAGTAGGAACTGACTGGGATCTCTTTTCTCTAATAACTTGCATTACGTATAATATTTTATTACAAATCGAATACTAAAAAAGTTTTTAAAAATCTATGATAAACAGGAATAAAACGTTACTGGTAGGTCAGAAGATGGAATACAGAGAGTGGAACCCATGGAATCCAATTTTGAAAACGTTTGTCTGCCAAGTGACTCTTTAAAGCTTTGTTAGCATTCCATGTCTGTAATTAAAGATCAAAAGGTATTCAAATACCACAGTCATGATGGGTGTCTTAAGCTGGTGTGTTTGAACTCAAAAAACACATTCTTATAGTTTTCAAGTCATAAAATGAGAATTTTAATGAGCTAATTTTGTATTTTTTTGCAAAAGTGAAAATAACTGTTGAGATTTTACATACAATAAAGAATGATTAGGGGAAAGAAGTGGTGGATTCCCAAATGTTCATAATTGTAGAGAGTCCCCCCCCCCAAAAAAAAACCAACAAATTGCTATCCTGATTGGGATGTTTGTTTTCACTGTACTGTTTCATCCTCAAATTCAATACTATTAATATAATATTCACCTCAACATTAACTTGTTCTTTACAAATTAAAAGTAATATAACATGTTGATTATCAAGTCCTATAACATGTCAAGAAATATAAAAACTACTAACGAAAAGAAACAAAACAGTTTTTTTTTTTTGTTAACAAATGAGGTAATTTTTTGTTTCACTCTCCTTCTATCTTGTTCAGCAGTTTTAGCTAATTCACATGTGTCTGTAATACCAGTTAAACAACTTGTTTGCAACAGATGTGGAGCTCATTAAATGTATGTGAAGAAAAATAAAACATGAATAAAAGTAAAGTATCTTAATGGAAAAACATACAAAATGTTTACTCGAAGAACAATACCTAATTAGCTTTAAAACATTACTGATCTGATGAAATACACATGAATAAACTTCAAAGACTGAAGATGACCAATAGGTTTTTGTTTATTTCACTTTAATGTGGATAAATAAATTAAATCATATTTATATAGTACAAGTTATCTTAAATATTTATATAATACATAATCAGTTTTAAAGAAAATCTATCAACTTTTATTTTTATTCTCAATTAAACACCTATTATTACCTGGATCTTTGCATGTATGAGCTTGAAGATGCTTCAGATGTCTGATAGCCATTTCAATTATTTCTGTCTTTTCTATCCTCCCTCGACCCTAGAGAGAGAGATAGTAAATCAATCATATATAAAAAACTATTATGAATGATTAAATACAACTGGTATTGTACACTAACTTTCAGTATTTTATATGTTTGCTTTATCAGTTTATAAAATATTGTTACAGCTGCTGTAACAGTGTACTGGTCAGATTGGGCATTCTGGAAAACTTTATCACAAAGCTTTTATGTTTTTAATTTTTGAACAACAGTAATACATTATTTCTACACATTTTTATTTTATCTACATATATATGTACCTTTTTTAAATAAGCACTGGGAATAAGACGGCTTAGGTCAGCCAAACAGTTGTTCATTCTGTCTCGTCGTCTTTTCTCAATAATACGATGGGACATTGGATCCTATGAAACATTAATAAGAAATGACTTCAGAATCATTTACAGTAAACTCAGTTTCCATCATTTTAAATGTTTTGGATATCTATATCTTTATCTCTTGTATAACTAGTTTAGTTTCCCAATTCTTTAAATTGTCTTAGTTCTTTTTCATGGACCATATCCTAAGATTAATAACAATGTTACGACAGCGGAAGTCACCTGACGCTGGTAACACGTAATGAGTATCTCGAACGTTCCTGAAGGCTCGAGTATTTGCCAGACGCCCTCTATTTTGTATATATAAGACCGGCGAGAAGTGACGGCATAAATAATTGAATAGCAGACAGGGAGATAGAGACAGATAATCGAGTCAAACCGTAAGTAAAGTGTGTAAATCGTTGTGTGTGTTTAAGTTAAAGTAACTGTGGAAATTCTGTGTATTGCAAAGTTGTATTGAGGAAGAATAAACTAGAAAGGGCTTGTATCGCTGAAGTTCCTCGGGAAGAATTTTTACGGGAGATTATCAAACACCAGAGACGTAACAACAACATGAATTACAAAAACTCAAATGAAATTTTTTGCAAAAATAGAATATGTTTCATTGATTAATTAAAATTCATCATTATTAAAACACATAAAAAATTAACTTAACACCATCAATAAAAATTAGAATGACATCATTTCTCATAGACAATAAAACTGTAATTTAAGTTTTGAAAAAAGAAAAATACTATACAAACTAATTCTAATATTTTTGTCACAGTGTCCAAAAGTTATGACATGTAAGCACCTCTAATCCTAAACTATGTAAGATAAAAAAAGTGCAGATTAATAAGACAATTCTATACAATGTTTAAAAAGAACAAAACATGAGAGTAGTTCCTGATTTTTGTGACTATAACCAGTAGAAGAGTATTTTCCTCTTAAATTATGCTGTGAACTATTTATATTGTTATGTATCTGCTCGTTTGTTAATTTCCGGTATAAATTCTTTCCGAGGAACTTCAGCGATACAAGTCCTTTCTTAATTAAAACTAGTTTATTCTTTCTTGATACAACTTCTTAGTACACGGAATTTCCAATGTCATTTAACAACCTTTATAACACTCGGACATTCGCGAGGTTCCTCGATAAGTCATGATCCTTCTAGAAACTCCAGCGCGCATACTTCCAGCATCGCGTGACTTCCGCTGTCGTAACAATATATTAGGCTTGTATTTCTGTCCAAGTATCTGGGTTAATATACTGTGAAGTACTATATTTCCCAATTTAGAATTCATTAACGTTTTTTTTTTAATTTTGAGCCTGTAGTAATGATTATGTAAAGTACTCAGAAGAAAAACAAGTAAGATGAAACAGTCGCCAAATTAAAATAAGTTAATTAATGAACGTGAAAATGTTTTGGGTAACAATAACAGACCGTCATCGGGTTTCCTCACCTACACAATTATTTTATTACTAATAGTAATACTAGAACATACGAAAAGTACTCAGTTGATTAGCTGCCTCAAACAGGAGAGATATCTGACTACAGAAGTACCTACTCCAGCAATTTTATACTAAACAACTACAACAAAATTCCTGTTCTACAGATTCACTTCCTAGTTCAATTTCACTTCTTCCTAAATTTTGTTGTTGATCTTTATGATAGTAGGCCTAATGAGAGTAGCAGTCAAACCTAATGCATGTATAGTAGGTCAATATTACGGTTATTACTACTAGATCATTTCAGTATCAACTTGAAATTCATTGCCTGTGTTATCAATATGTTCTTAGCTACTTCAGACATCCTAAATAAAATATAACAACTGAAAATAATTAATCATTAATTCAGTAAACGTAGACACCACTCTCACAAAGTTTATCTCAAACACTTGTCATTTGCCAATAACGTAGATACGTAGAACAATCTACTTCCTGCATAAGGAGACTCTTAGTCTTACTCTACCCAACTTTGACCAATCACCTATTCAAACCATATTTAGATTTTTCGATCTTTAAGACCATGGAGAGAAGAATAAGATGTAACAATCATAGTATGGAATATATTAAGACATTTAGTAGATGCTATACAACTATAAGTTGGTCTCTAGCCTAATTATTATAAAAGAATATCTATTTGGATGAATGTTTAACCAGATTTGAGTGACACCCAAAAATCAATATCGTTAAAACACTAAAATCTAACAGTCAAATTCAACACATTATTATTGAAGTTAATATTTTTGTATTTTTCAGTATTAAAAGTATTATTTACTAAATACTTTAAAAATGTAAGATAGATACCTTGAGCCACAATGTTAAGTTTATATTATTATAACGTAAACAACGATTTTGGTTGAGTTCACTTATATTTTTGAGAAAAATCAACAAGAAACAAATTTTGCAGTCAAACCCAACTCTGCGTTAGATCGGTTAGTTATATATACATCCTATCTAAAAGTAAAAGTGATATCGACAATGACCTACTTTCAATATATATGTTATATCCGGACAACAATACTTTTATTCACTCGTATGAAGTATCACTAAATTATTAAAGCCTATATTATTTCTATGCTATGTTACATTAATGATAGTCTAGTTAATTAGTCACTGTGACATACTGTTTCGACAAATCATGACGTCAGAAAAACTTAAAATTTCTCCGGTTGAATATCGATTTCTGCATGTCGAAATCATCTTGCAAATTACAAGATAAAACCATACTAGATTATATTAGAAACCGTAGAATTAAATACAAATAACGCTAATTTTTTAAATATCGTCATTTAAAATTGTGACCAATTATTTAGAAATCGCAATTCTGTAAAACATTTATTCCTTTGTAATTGTAAAAACTTACTATTTAAATAGTAAATCGACCATTCTATTCTACGCATTTGTATCTCTTCATTGAAACTGTAGAAATAATGGTTACAATGCTAACAATGATATCCATCAATTTGTTTTAGAAAACTATGGTGCAGGCTTATAACACCTACTATGAGAGAGACTCAACAGAATACCTATGTATGGCGGTATAATGCAAGGTTCCAAATACTTAATTTTTATCTTTTGTTTTGTCAATATTATTTAATTAATTAGGCCTAGCAACCGCGGTGAAATCATGTTGGGTCAAGTCTTCCTTTTATAGTTTTTTTTTTAATTACATCAAAGTTAACTTAATTAGTAGAATTTTAATGTAAACGAAAGGCTTACTGGGCAGTGACTTGTGGGAGATAAAAGATATATCAGAAATGCTATTTTTACATACACACCTGGTTCAATATTCGCGTTGAATAAATTAAGAGGTATGTGAAAAAACAAAATATCTTTTCTAAGCGATTTTTATCAGAAATATTAAGCTTATTGGATTCCAATGCTTGGTCAAATTTCCACGTTTAAACTTTGACATGAAAAGTCTTATAAGTTATACTGCGCCCCCCAGTGACACAGCGGTATGTCTGCGGACTTACAACGCTAGAAACCGGATTTCGATACTCGTGGTGGGCAGAGCACAGATAGCCCTTATGTAGCTTTGTGCATAATTAAAAACAAACAAACAAGTTATACTGCATATATATATATATATATATAATTAGCGTTTCAGTCTTTTGGATACATTTTGCGTCTCATCGTTCAGTTTAGTTGATTTGTTCTAGTATTATATGAAAGGCCTCAGGTGGAAGATAAAGGTTCGATATGAAATGCTATTTTTGCACACACCTGTTTCGAAATCCACAATGGATATATAAATACGAATGTAAAAGAATTATTGTATAAACTATAAGTGATTTTTTTGTCAGGCATTTAAGGCCAATTAGATTTCAAAGCTTCGCCAGGTTTCGATATTCATATCGTAACTTTAAAATCACGCTGTTTTCAATAAAAATAATTCGTTCATAAAACAATGCAAAATTAATATAAAAAGCACAGATTAGGAAAAAAATGACAAGTTATTCGATTATATACATATATCGAATACGGTATATAAATAACAGTAGTAGTCATAAATATCATAAAATTATTCCTAATGTTAGACACTCTAACTTGATACTCAAATAACTTGAAGTAGGTGGTAGTACTAGTAATAGACTAAATGTTTGAAAGTGGGATGGGGATAAAAGTAAACTCAAACAAGCAGTAGGCTAATGTATCCGTTTTCTAATACTAATAGTAAGGCCCCCCAGTGGCATGTCTGCTGGCTTATAAAGCTAGAAACTGCGTTTCGATAACCATGGTGGACAGATCACAAATAGACCGTTGTGTAGCTTTGTGCTTAACTTCAAACAAAAATCTAATTGTAAGTGCTATTATTGCTATTCTAATACTAACAAATACATTTTTATAAACAGATTAGCCTACATTACAAGAACCAAGTCTCATTTTATAAATGATTGCTTACAGTTAAATTTAGGTCGAATGTACAAATAGAAAATGTTCTTCCATTTAGAAATGAAAAAAAAAAAAAGTGTGTTAACACTAACGTTACAAATAATACAATGCTTTAATTAAGCACACGTTTCGATATTATTAATATTTTATTAAATTACTACGGCTTCATCTATCGGTTAAGTTGCAAACCTATGGCTTAGTTCCTGAAATGAGCTATAATTATTGTGTTACTAATACTGATTGTTTGATCTACTTATACTTATAACTTATACTAGTTATAGACCTAGTTGCAAAACACTTAACTTAGTACAAAAAAAAACCTTGATTTGTAACATTAAGAGAGTGGAAATAAAATAAAAAAATCATACCATTTTGCTTTACAGTGGAACAGAATTTACAGTTACACCAGAAACTAACCCTTAAGTTCCGTAATGTTCTTAAGACACAAAACAAAAACCAAGTTTTGTGTAGTACCACTATTAATATTATTACTTTATAAATACGCTTGGAAGTGGAATTAACGACAATGGTAATCGAAATATTTACTTAATAAATACATAATACAACCGTTCAATTCTATTTTTACTTAATATTACTGACTGTACGTTAGCTCAGTAACAAGGTTTCTACTCTTTTCGTCTACTTGCTCTATCATAAGTACGTGTTTTACAGACTTGACTCCAACACATACCTAGCACGTGACATGAAAGTCTGAGTTGACGATACTCGTGAACTCCAGCACACATGTTCTAGTGTATTCACGTGCCCACGTGTAAGTCTGTTGTTTCTCCCTTTGCAAAATTTGTGAAAACAAATCGATTACGTAGGCGAGTTGATTATACAACTAACGAAAATGTACAGTTAAACAAAACGGAAGTGCTACAGAAACCATAGTAACCTGAAATGGGTTTTATTGTACTCTAGTATTTGTGTTGTTTTTTAATGAAACTTAATATCTGAAGTTTTGGTTTCTATTGAATTAATATTAATATAAATTGCGAGTTCTCAATGACTACTGTTACATTATAACACTGGAGTTTTCAATCATTAAAATTTTACACGTTTGTTTGTTTGAAGTTAAGCACAAAGCTGCACAATGGGCTATCTGTGCTCTGCCCACCACGGGTATCGAAATCCGGTTTCTAGTGTTGTAAGTTCGCAGACATCCCGCTGTGCCATTGGAGGGGGGGGGGGCATTTTACATGTTCAATGATATTGTAATGAAAACAAAAACGAAAATATATTGATTTCCTTTTCATTTTACATGTTCAATGATATTGTAATGAAAACAAAAAGGGAAATATATTGATTTCCTTTTCATTTTACATGTTCAATGATATTGTAATGAAAACAAAAACGGAAATATATTGATTTCCTTTTTATTTTCATTTTACATGTTCAATGATATTGTAATAAAAACAAAAACGAAAATATATTGATTTCCTTTCTATTTTCATTTTACACTTAATTTACCAAATTACAATAAAAGTAAGAAATATAAATCTTAAAAATTTCAACGATTCTCTATTTCTTACGTGAATAATCAGGATATAACAATGTTTTCAGTTTGGGTCTTGCACGTGCCCAGGACCAGCTAGAAAACAAAAACAGGGGGGGGGGGGAGTTGCCCTTGTTAGCCCTACTCGCACATGTTCAGAAACCAGTCTTCAAGTGATGTACCAACACTATTTATATATAATTATGATCTGAATATATAAAGCAGAAACCGATACAAACTGAGTTTTGTGTTTTACAAAATTAACAGAAATAACCAGTACTAAGTAAACAGATCTTGTCTTTAGACAGTTATCTGAGACTGTCCATCTAGTACCAGCCATTGCTAACATATTGTTACGTCTCCGTTCGTTAATTGATTTTCCGTAAATTCGTTCCGACGAAACTTTAGCGACACAAGTCCTTTCTTAAATAAAACTGGTTTATTCTTTCCGAATACAACTTTACGTTACACTCAACTTCAACAGTCGCTCTGTAACAAACGCTATAATTCTCAACGAATTTCTCACGTGCTCAACAATATTCTCTCTGACTGCAGTTCAATTACTCATTACCTCTCTCGTCCCGTCACGTTGTGAACGTCTTGTATATACAAGACTAATACATATCTAGTAAATGCTAGGGCATTCTTGAAGGAACAGGATATTTCTAGAAACAGGTGGCGTGATACTAGTCACATGACCTCGCTGACGCAACAATATATTCATTAGGATCAAACTTCATACAGTTTCCAGTTTCTGCAAAGCATTCAGTAGCAAGGAGGATCCCACTGAGAGTTTTGGTAAATAATTTCTTGTGAGACTTGGTTTTTACTGAACTTATCTTACTGAAGACACTTTCACAATCTGCATTTGAATGTGGCAGAAGAATAGTATCTACTACGAATTAAGGCAGATAACAATTAGCCACAAATGTTCCGGTACAAAAGAAGTTCTACTCAAAACGCTACGTCCTCGGGGAGTTCAGTAGCAAGTAGGGGATTCCATTCATCAACATGGTGTTGGCGAGTATTGTTTCGTCTCGAACAACAAGAGGTAGACATGACTCCAAAAGAATGACTGACGGACACATTTTCCTTGCTTTAAATATATTAATATTTTATGGTTGAGGATAGTGATCCTAGATAGGACTGGGTTGTCAAAGCTTTGCGTTTCTCTATGTTTCTGCAGGCAGTTTTTAAAAACTCTCTACAACAGATAAATAGGTCTTAGACTATATCAGGCCGTTTCATCGACACCAAGGCACATTTGGTTTGGTATAAGGAACTAGTCTTCTTTTAATAACGGATTGACAAAACTCAAGTCACGTGTCAGTACATAAGCTCGGTCCACGAAACATACCAGAATGTCTTTGTATGTAGCTGACATCTTGTCATGAAGATATGTAACGACCACTTTGCTGCTTTAGAAGTACTCGTTAAACATGGTTAACTTCAGCAAGAACCTCCTCGAAACAAACGTCAGCATGTAAAGTATTAAGTAATCAGGTTTGAACCAACATAAGAATTTTGGATAAACTTCCTTTTCAATTATACTTACAATAATGTAACTTGCAACAAGAGTTTTTATTGATTTCCACGTGTACACCGTTAGTAGTTCACAATGTATTAAGCCTTCTCTTGTATGATTGCCATTTTTTGTTGCTCAGTTTAACACACTGGAGCGCTACCTAGAAGACACAAAAAGTGCTAATAAAAACTTTGATTTGGGCTACAAGATTTTACAAATTGCATTTTGTATGTCTATTAGTTATTTTCTTTTACTTACGTTCTAAATAGTAAATATAATTTTGGGACACCTTGTATTTAATCTGTTTGATAAACAATAAATTCCGGTTTCTCTTGAAATAATTTAATGACACAGTACTTTGAAGTCCTATTTCATTCTGAACATTTTTCTCGAAAAAAAAAAATTAAATATCAAAATCTGTTTACTATGTTTTTTTCAATAATATATGTTTAGTTACCAATGGCACACGAGGCTCCACAAGTCACGGATTAACATGTTCAATAGCCAAGTTATCAAAAACAAAGCAGAAAAATGCGATATAGTTATAAGCCAGGTAAACGGATATAAGAATTAGTATGCTTACCATACGCATTTGTAAACAGTCAATTAGAAAAATGTACTCTTTAGGTATTAATATGCATGTAAATATTTTATCAAGATAAAAAACTTTTTATTGAGCAACTGAAATGAATTAAAAAAACAAACAGAAACCTTATTTCCGCCTTTGTATTTACACCTTTGCAAGTTTTATATTCAGCACGTGATTTGGCAATATGCCAGTTTTTAACATTTACCAAAACTTTCAATTCAAGTATTGAGGTAGGCATTTTTAACCTCATAATAGAACCACAGATTATGCATACAGAAGTTATTAACACCTTAATCTTCTCGTGGTAAAAATATATACAAAAAGTTGATCCAAGAGGACGAACGTTCTTCAAATCAGTTAAGGATAAAATAGGAAATAGATGAACTGATAATGTGCGCTATTAACTTATGCTTGTGTGTGTATGTATATATATATGTATGTGTATATATATATATATATATATATATATACACACACATATCTGTACATGTAGGTATGTATACCTTCCTGTTTCAAGAATCTCATTTATGTCTCTGAGATGCAATTAACAAATTGAATATCTGTCAAATGCTTTGTTTACAACAATTAATTAAACTAACTATTTATTTGCTATACATTTCTTGATATGGTAATATCTGCCACCTCGGAAAAACTCCCTAAATTTCACAAACTCTATAAAAAACATTAAAAAATGTTAGTACAAGTTTGCGGGTAACAAAAGAGATAGTTCATGTTTTGATATATAAATGTAACGTTATTCCGTATATTTTTCTTTTTGTTTCATTTTTATTTGGTATTTTATATCTTTATCGTTTGTGAATATGTAATTACTTCTCGTTCGTATTTACTATATTCTCGATAATCCACCTTAATAACTTACACTAATTTATACTCTCTATAACACACCTTAATAACTTACACTAATTTATACTCTCTATAACCCACCTTAATAAATTACACTAATTTATACTCTCTATAACCCACCTTAATAACTTACACTAATTTATACTCTCTATAACCCACCTTAATAACTTACACTAATTTATACTCTCTATAACCCGCCTTAATAACTTACACTAATTTATACTCTCTGTAACCCATCTTAATAACTTACACTAATTTATACTCTCTATAACCCACCTTAATAACTTCCACTGATTTATACTCTCTATAACCCACCTTAATAACTTACACTAATTTATACTCTCTATAATCCACTAATACCCTTATTTTATTTTTAGATTAATTTTCGAAAGTATCTGAAGAGAAAAATCCAAACTGCAGTATGTGGACAAAATCAATGAATCGCGGAGGTTTTGAATATTTCTTCTGTTTTTTTTTCAGAGAGAGGATCATGTTGCTCTAGTAGTTTGAAAATACTTCCTTATGTGTGTGTGTGTGTATCCAAAAACAATTTAGTTTAACATTTTGTAGAAACTTTAAGATAGTTATATATTTAAGGCGATTTCCATCAACAAAACATATACTGTCACATTCCAGCCAGTGAAGAGCCCTGATGTTAGACGAAAGGCCTTGTTGTCACTAAACATGGCAGGTATAGTGTGGCTGACAAATTATTTTACATTCTTCTTTACCTTCACCCAGAAGTTCTTGTTAATAATTGAACTACAGAGAGAGAGAGATAAAAGACAGAGACAGGAATGACGCATTTAAGAAAGCTCTGGCCATTCATATACTAAAGTACCAGTTACGCGCTCTATTGACGCATCTATTGTTGAAGGTTGGTATGGTCAGAGCTATGCATAGCGCCGGTATAAAAAACGTGTGCTACGGAGAGTCGCTTTGTTTCTAGGAGCGACTTGTGGATCGATGCTGTATTTGAAAATTCATAGCGATTGTAGGTAGCGTCGCTCCATTTTTAACATAAAATATAAATTGTATTCATTTGTATATTGTATAATTATATAGTTTTGTATATATACATAATTATGATATATATATATATCATTTCGGACTTAATTAGGCCTGCATATAC